TTGAACTAGGGGCAAAAGAATTTCAAATGTGCTCGAAGAGTCAAAGATGAAGATCAGCGAGAATGCCAAATCCCAGAAGGGAGAAAAGAAGAAAGTATTGGTGAAGGACAACCAAGTTCCTATCCACAACACTAGGGGCAAATTCAGCCCCCCATTGGATGGACTCCTACATCATCAACAAACAACATCCATTCTCTTGGATTCGGATGGCTTCGAGATCTCAAACCATTCCATATGGACAAAACCTACACTTTTACCCTTGAGAGGCTCGCTGGTCTGAAAACCAGGAAGGGCGCCCCAGGCAAAAGTTAGAGCAAGAAAGACAAGAAAAAGAACAAAAAGAAAAATGCAAAAAATGAAGAAAATAAAAAGAAAAGATAAAAAGGAAAAAAGAAGAGAAGAAAATGAAAAGGAATGAAAAGAAAAGAAGAACAAAGCTCGCAAGGTTGAAAACCCAGAAAGGGCGGCCTTAGCAAAAGTTAGAGCGCAAAAGGAGAGGTTAAATACACGAGTGTATCTTAACCCCGAACTACGTAAGGCTTGATTCCCATCTTTGGGATACGTAGGCAACTTTATTCTGAAGTCCAGCCGTGAAACACTTCAAATTCGACTGTGTCCATGTGATGGTTCTGGTCATCTTTGTCTTCTCTGTATCCGAGAATTTGGTTGTAATTGTCATTGTAAGGACTGGTTGCCACATGCTGCGGCGCTATTCAGACTAGGGGCAACTTTCCGTTGCCGTCCAGTGCGCTGCAGTGTCGTTCAAACAAGGGGCAACTTTCCGTTGCCTTTCAATGCGCTGCAATGCCGTTCAAACAAAGGGCAACTTTCCGTTGCCATGCAACTCCCCTTAAGCAAGGGGCAATTTTCCTTCGAATCTGAGGTTGTGCATCTCGAGAGTGGGTTCTATGCTCGTTAAGCAGTGGCTGTTTGTAAAAACAATTTTGAGAATTTTTAGTAAGGTTGACTGATTTTCTCTCGAAAATTATTCCATTTTTCAAAACCTGGACCTTTTTCTTGGACCCAAAAAAGGAAAATTTTCAGTGCTCATAAACTAACTTGCATGATTTTGAATCAGAAAATCGAACAAGCGTGTTAATCTAACTCTCATTTTGGTTAAAATTGTTTTAGTAGAAAACCAAACCAAAAAAAATGGTCAAAACGATGAACTAGGGGCACAGTTTGAGCCAGGTGTTCTGTCTTTTCCCCTTTATCAACGCATTTGCCAGAAAGGGCACCATACTTGCCAGAAAGGGGCACAACGGAAGCTAACCGCAAAAAGGGCAGAAAGCTCTCACATCCTCCAAGCAACGAGGTATCAAGCCAAGTGCGAAGCACAAATGGGAATGGATCGAGATATTCCACTCTTTTGTTTGGACACATCTGATTACATCCAAACTCCCTCGTGGAGTATCGTCAACCGATGTCAGCTGCAGATTTGCTACACACCTAATTGTAGCACAGCCCCTCTGTGGAAGAAACTCACTGTTATGCACAAGAAGAAGAATCTAGCAGAATGCTATGGGCAAAAGCCCATAACTTTCTGTTTATCCATCAACCACCCAGGGGAGGGACAAAAAAATGAGAGATTGAAGAATAGAGAGATGTGAGCTGAGAGAAAAAGTGAGAAAATGGCTTTTTCAGAAAAACAGAGCCTGAGGGCCGAGTGATATGAGAATCACAAATTAGAAATGGTGGGAAATAAAACCCGGAGAAACTGGCTCCTCGCGCACTGAGAGGTCTCTCGTCTTTGTAACACGTCTGTGTGTCGTGTCTTTTGTTTTGTTCGTCTCGATTCTTGCTTTGAGTCATTCCGAGCGTGTCTCGATGTGTTTAGGTTTTTTACCTTTGTTTTCCTTTGTTGAGTCGTGATGCGCTGTGTCCAGTCGTAGACTCAATACCCAGTTGAGAATTCATTTTCAATTTCGATTTCAAAAAAAAATCGTTTTGTGCATAGAGTGTTGTGTCATTCTCCACATTTGTGCAAAATAGTATTTGTTCCTTCATAAAATAGCAGGGTTCAACCCAGGTCATGTCAGAATAGTAAAACCAGATGTGAGAATCACAAATTAGAAAGGGTGGGAAATAAAACCCGGAGAAACTGGCTCCTCGTGCACTGAGAGGTCTCTCGTCGTTGTAACACGTCTGTGTGTCGTGTCTTTTGTTTTGTTCGTCTCGATTCTTGCTTTGAGTCATTCCGAGCATGTCTTGATGTGTTTAGGTTGTCTACCTTTGTTTTCCTTTGTTGAGTCGTGATGCGCTGTGTCCAGTCGTAGACTCAATACCCAGTTGAGAATTCATTTTCAATTTCGATTTCAAAAAAAAATCGTTTTGTGCATAGAGTGTTGTGTCATTCTCCACATTTGTGCAAAATAGTATTTGTTCCTTCATAAAATAGCAGGGTTCAACCCAGGTCATGTCAGAATAGTAAAACCAAGACCTATTTGAAGCTATATGGGTTACAAAGCAAAAGAAAAGAGGAAATGTCGGGTAACTGAGTTTGTTTCAACTTCAGTAAGTTTCGAGACTACATTCCGTGTGTACCTCTTCGGGTCTTGCCATTGCTCTGAAGTACGAGTGTGCCTCTACCTCAAGCTCAAGATCAAGTCTGCTTCAAGCCAGAATGGCGATCAAAAGTGCTCTCCCTGAGTACCATTCCCTGCCAGAGGCATCTTGGCCGGGGCAATTCAGCCCCCCATTGGATGGACTCCTACATCATCAGCAAACAATCCATAACCTTTCAGTTTTGAAAACCAATTACAACCTTTAAAAGGTTATGGTCCCTATTCCTTCCTAAGGTGAAAGATAAGAACACTGTTTTGTTTTTCTAAATCCTCTCAAGGAGAAACATAAGGCACCAAAGGGGAAAGGATTAGAAGGCAATAACATAGTCAATATCAAGGTTTTATTGACAATCAGACCCTTCCGTTTAACCGTTCATCAATGTATTCAGGTATGTCGTTTTAGTCTTGTTTTCTTGATGATATACATGGTAGATGATCCGAAACATGAAGTTTCATGTTCTGAAATTTATGTTTACAA